GTACTAAATATGTGGCCTGAATACAAAAAACCGGTAATTATAGAAGCCCTACAAAATTACATCCGCTGTTGAACACGTCTGGGTTTACTTGATACAAAAAACAAAGTTTCTTATGTTTTAATTAAATAGAACATATAAGTGTACCATATATATAAGGGGTGACAATTTATAAACTTGCAGTTGTGTATCTGATGAATAAAAGATGGCAAAAAATAGTTTCTAGAACACAAAGGGGGAAAATATCACCACTCACATCATTGCAAAGAGCATTAAAATGCATTTCAACTATATAAGTTATGTCCTATACAAACCAATAACCACGGCGCGTCCACCAAAACCCCAAAAAAAAACCGAAATTTTCACACATAATCTATTTTCTTCATTGTTTATGTTTATGAAACAATTTTAACAAAATTTTAGAAATCAAAATGGCCCCACATGTCCCCGAAGGCTTGCATGTTTTTCTCATATCTTTTTGTTTTATTTTATGAAATCTAATATTTAATTTGGATTATTTTAAAAATTTGGTGGACCCGCCGTAGTTATTGGCTCTTAAAAACTAATTTAAAAAGAAAAAAGCATTTTAAATATTTCTACGATTAGTCTAGGAATACAAAATACATTGTTTTTATTAAGTAAGTATTAAGTTCATTAGATATTATAGCCAATATATACTTTTGTATTGGAACAGTTTTGTTTTTCGATTTACAGACCAATAAAGTTTATCACAACAGAGTAACAATTATATATCATAAATTTTGATTAATTTTTTAAATGAAAATATATTGCTATTACTTTTAAAAATTATTAGTATCTATGATTACCAGAAACAATTTTCATATTTTATAAATAAAGTTGGTAACCCATCTTCAGAATACATCTTTGCCCTTTTTATTTTTTACTCAAAAATATTTCTGTGTTATTCAAATCTGCCAATAGTCAATTTGTTTAGGTAATTATTTTTCTTTAACTAATATTTAACATATAAATTGTTCAATTTAGTTCTTTAATATAAAGAGGTTTCTTATATTAGTGTTCGTTTGAAGACAATCTAGTTTTTTTTTAAATTATATATGAAAGAATCTTTAAAATATTATATATAAATATTCAGGGAATGTGTTGTTTTATTATTTTGATATAGACATTACTTACTGTCGTTATTGTTATGATTATATACATATTAATATTATATTTATTGATATTTATATGACATAATTTTCTTTTCTTTAAATCGGCTTTTAAAATGTAAACGTCAATTTTAAAACATTGACTTTTTGTATGCTAATTTTGAAAATTAAACAATGGGTTCTTAGAAATAAAATGTGGATTTAAATGAATCACATTCATTCTGTAACATTGATGTAATACTAGATTATGTAGATTTGTGAAAATATTAATAAAATACTTTCAATCGAAGTAAGTGCCATTAAGAAAATGTTATTGTTTTTCTATAAAAAAGGCCAAGAATGATATGTCACTGCATTGTAAATTAATTTGTGATTAATTTTTGATACAATTTGAAATAAAAAGTTGAGGGTTGTAAAAGTATTATAATACCTTTTTGTTTATCTTTTCATCTTTGCAAATAAAAGACTTATTGCTTGTGAACAATAAGTTGGGACAATCTGTGTACCCTGAACCTTATCTCCAAGGATGTCTTTGAATACACAAAAATCAGTTGTTTTACAAAATTAAGATAAATGTTTCCAAAATAGAACCTTGAGGCGCAACGGTTGTATTGACAATATAATTCAACTAATTTTGATATGATTTCTTACATCACTACTATTATTATAATTGGATTCTACAAATTCTAAATATCTACTAAGCCGAAATCATCTTACAAAGAGGTCATAAAAAATCGTTTGAACTTAATTATAAAACACCCTTCAAACCAAGGACGGCACAAGGGAAGGGGTCCAGGGAACCATGCCCTCTCTGAGGTTAAAATTGGTACAATCCATGAACCTTCTGGTAATAAAAAAATATACTAAAAAGGGAATTTTTATTGGCAATGCCCCCTTCTCCCGAAAATTCGACCTGGAGCCACCCCTTGCTACATACAATGACACACCCTACGCAGGACTATAATAGTCAAATTTTTAATTAATACTTTAGCAAAATTTTAGGTCACACTGGAGGCTGGTCCATAAGTGCTGCAGAAAAGCCAAAAAAAATGCAAGTATCTTGTCTACATTTCACAAAAATTATTTTAAAATATATCTAAAATAAATTTTATGAGTAACCTCATTAATTTTATTTTAATTTTAAACAGTAAATATAGCGTGTGTATGTGCACTGAACCGCTTGGGCCGTCTCCTTTAGTTGTTCCAGTACAGTCTGTTCGCTATACTTACGCGGGTTTCGGATTAAAAATTTTATGAGTATTTCCAGGTGAGTACCCGAAAGTTTGACCTGTTCTTTGGGGAAATATCAACTGGTTAAATGAAATGAAAAATAATGTACAACTTTTTAATTAAATAATAATGGAGAATCTTTTGTATAATTGACAGCAGAATTAAACTTCTTCATTAATGGAGTCTAATGGGGCTATTATAAACCTAATAATAATTTTATATTACACTTCACAAAGAAAATATGGTCTATGTATAATAAGAGGGTTATTTAGCTCAAATAAAATATTTTCTAACACAAAAATTTGTTCCATGTAGATAGAGAATTTCAAATGAAAAATAAAAAAAAAATGAACTTGCCAACAAAAATGAAAATCAGTCATTATCATTCAAAATATCATAATCATCATCATCATCACTGTCATCACCATTAATTGTTATTATGATTGGACTTATTTCGTTTATTTTATTTTCACGAGTCCACCAATCTTCTATTAGTTTCTCGCACTTAGATATACAGTTCCGCCACACTTCTGGAGTTGCAATTGAAAGTGCTTTTCGCCAAGTTTCCCGAACTGCGTCGTCACTATAACCATTAGGCCCAATATGGTTGTCATAATATTGTTTTGCTATTCCCCATATATATTCGATGGGATTAAACTGGCAATGATACGGTGGCAGACGTAAAACTTGATAACCGTAACTTTCAATAATCTGATCCACAACAAAGGTTTTTGGTTTTGCGTGTATATTTGCCAAGCGTAATAATTCTGATTTTAATATCTATTGAGGAAATAGTATATGTTCCTTTGTCATCCATTCTTTAATTTTATCAACAGTCCAAGAATTCGTTGGACTTTTGTTTAATACTTCAGAATGATAAGGTGCATTCTCTAAAATAATTACGCCGGGCTCACTTAAACTTGGGAGAAGTTTTTCATGCAAACATTTTACAAACATTTCTGTGTTCATATTATCGTGATAGTCACTGGATTTTGATTTAGATGAAAATATTAAATTAACACCTTCTATAAAACCCGATTTCCCTCCTGCAAGTAAAATTATGTGTCGCTTCCCTTCTCCATCGGTATGTTTGATGGACTTTACGTTATCATCTTGCCATATTCTCTTGGTTGTACCTTGTACCTCTAGAAAATATCCATGTTTCGTCTAAATATATAAAATTCGCCCCGCCCCTTTTTCTTTAAATTTAAAATATTTTCTTAGAAAGTTAATTCTCTTGTGCAAGACAGAACTTCTTTCACAAAGGGCCTTTCTGTTATCCTCCTTGCCATAGACTTGTTCTGCCAATGTCGTCAAATTTTCTATCTATTAATTCTGAGAGAATTGTATTTAAGGTCACATGTTCCTTGTTGGCCCTCATTCGATAAATGGTATCACGAATTTCAAATTTCTTTCCATCTGGAATATCTTTCGTTTTCAATGATGGGCGAGTTTTGCGGTGATCTTCTTTCGGCAGTTCACTATTGTAATTTTGTAATACTCCTCTTAATTTGGTTTCACTAATTCCTAGAGCATCGCATACGCGTTGTTGTACAGATATTACCGATTTTAAAGGACCGCCATTTTCTTTTTTATCCGTAAAATACTTATGTACATTACAAATTAGACTATCTACATCTAACACACGTCTAGGCATTTTTAAAATTTCCACTATATTTACAATATACATACAATGTCAACAATTGCAAAGAATCAATTCAACTGCAATATTTGTAACAAATTTAGTACCTACCCTAATGTTATTTTAATTTAAATCTACAATTAGGGCAATTTTACCTAATTTGTTGGGAAGAGGCTTATTGGAACTGGTTGTCAATGACTAATTTGCATAATTTTGTTAATCCGAAACTCGCATAAGTCTAGCGAACAGATTGTAGTCTTGATAGGCAGTCAACGAAACTTATTTCTTGTCAACAGTATTTTGATCAAAACTAATAAAAAAGATGTATTGAAAAATTTTAAAATAGAATCATATCGGGCTTGCAAAATTCATTTTTGACATAAAAACTTAAATATGTCAAAAACGCTTAGACTTAGGTATAGGACATTCCCAAATTTTTAAACTTTCTGAACATCCAGTTTCTGAGAGATATTTATAATTGAATTTAGTGAAATTCCGTGGAAGTACATTGAATTTAAGTGGAAGTATGTGGAATGACAGAGGAAGTAAATGGAATTCCAGTGGAATTACAAAGGAATAATTTAGAGTTGGTTTTCAGTTGGTTTGCTACTCGTTTTGAAATCTTTGGATAGAATTACTTTTAGGTGTTACTCTAACAGCCTCTTATTTATTCTGTAAGATGGCAAATGTGTTTAAACTACTGATAAAGCTAAACTAGCAATAATGTCAAAATCCTAAGTGGATACTTTGCATTTTGTTAATATTAAAGACGATATCGTTAATGAACAGAATGCTGGGAAGTGGTCCTAAAACGGAACCTTGAGGCGCACTGTTTGAACTGACAACAGTAATCAACTAATTTTGTCACAAATATTATAATACATCTATCGCCAAAAGTTACTTAAAATTACCATTACCAAATAAAGGTCAAGTCATAAGTCAAGTCAAACCATTTAAACTGCATATTTTCTTGCAAAACTGCAATCCACCAGCTTTTTTACCTTTTTTTCAAGAGAGTATATATCCAGATAATGTCACCACTACACTGAAACCCCACACAAAAAGGTCACAAGAACGTCTTTAGAACACAACAAGAAATTAGTTTTCACTGCAACTCGCGGTTAATGGAGAATGTCCTAACAGTACCAGCCGCGCGTGAACGTTCGCGATAGAGTGAAGAAAGAAGAAAGCGCTAGCGGGTTCGCGGTCACGTGATCCTCCACTTCTTGCGCGACCAGCGAAAGAGTACGTCGACCGGACATCCTCTTATCTCCTCTTCATCGTTTTGCTTAGTTTATCCCATTGTTTCATCTCTTAGATATTTCTGTTTGCCTTTTGAGTTATATTCGGATACTCATCGTCATCATCATCATCGAAAAAGTGTAAATTAATAGTTATTTATGCAACAAGTGTGTGTCAAAAAAGGGACTTTACACACGAGTGGCATACAATATTTTTTCTACTACCGTACACATAATCCACTAATATTAGAAATATAAAAGTTACTTTTTTTCACTAGTGAAAAAAAGTACTTTACTTTACGCACTAGTGAAAAAAGTAAAATGTGCCAAAAATTGTACACAACAACAAAAATAAATTTATTGGAACTACAAATTTATAATTCTTACAGAACAAAATGACTAACAAATGAAGAAATATTTAAAAAAATAGGTTTTTAACTCTTATGAATATTAATATTGAATGTGCAATTATTGCAATTACCAAAACTTCTGTAACCCTATTTTGAGCTTCGAGTGGTATGGATTTGGCCTTTTCAAGTAAAGAGGTTGAAATATTTTGTGTAACTCTAGTTTCACTGTCGAGTGGTTCCACTAATTCTTCATTAGAGTTGTCAACGGTAAAATTGTAGCTTTGTTTGGAAGTGGGTGGCATACTGTCATCCATCAAAATTTTATTAGAAATTTTGTTTTTTTTGTGTTATTGTGCTGTCTACGTAGCCTTCTGCAACATGATTTCCATCCTCCATGTTTTTTGACTGTTAAAAGGTCTCCTCCAGAATTTGCCAGCATAGTGGCTGAAGACCTCTTAAAGCAGTGTCCTGTAAAAGCCGTTGGATTGGGCAAGTTTAGATACGTTGCTATAACACTTGGCATTTTACCAAAAGTATTTATCCCTACAGGCTGTTTAGAATATTTTCCATTGCGAATTTTAAAAAAAATCTATTACAATTTATATTTGATGGTCTTAATGAGGTATATTTTTTTATGAAAGATAAATAATCAACTGCAGAATTATTTGGATTTAAAATCGTAAAAATGCGTTCTATTCCATTTTTGGTTTCTGATACTTTGACAATATACACTGTTTGTTTATCTTTCACATCGTTAATTGTAATTTTACATAATTCTTCCCGGCGACAAGCTCCCGCAATTCCAATTATAAAAGCTACCTAAAAAATAACATATTGTAATGTTACAAATAATTTATTAAACATTAGGAAATATCTTGACGTTGCGCATGTAAAACTCCAAATAAATGCTATTGTAAAAAATATAAAAGTTTTAGGTATAATGTGCTGCCTAACAACCCCGGTGGCCTGTTAGGACAGCAACTGATTTTGTTAGGCAACCCACCATACGAACACACATCTCGTTGCAAAACTTTACAGAATATTTTAATTTTATACTGAGCATTCAAGCATTTACTGAGGCATTTACTTACTTTGATCATTAAAAACTTGGAATCTGGAGCTTTCAACAGAAAATTAATTAGATCTTCTCGTTCAAAAATTTTGGATTTTTTTGGTTTATAACCTTTATTTTTTTGTTTGAGAAACGCTATTAACTTGTTGAATTTCGAAATATCAACGTTATTTTTATATTTTAAGGTGCTTTTAAGCATAGAATAAATCGACCATAGGGTAGAAGCTTTGCAATTCTTCAATTCATCAGAGAAATATGCTAAAATAACGTTTTCCGAATATTTTGTCACCTTATTCTTCCTACACCATTCTATAAATGCATTGTATTTTTGCTGATAAATATATGCAGATATTTCTGGCAATAAATTTTCAGTGGCCTTTTGTGCACTGCATAAGATATCTGGGGGAGTATTATCAAATTCGGTATCGCTAGATAAATTTGAATCCATATCGATTATGACAGATATAATAAACTGCAAATAAAATTTGAATTTAAGTAAACAAACATTAAAAAGTAAAACTTTTTACCTTCTCAAACTTGATTGAGTTTAAAAAAAATGCTAAATTGGCTTTAGAATCTAATCTTGAACTTAAGTATACTTTTGTCGTGTTCTGTTATAAGGTAGGTACTAATTAAAAGTTTAGAGATTGACAGTTCTTCTAATCCACACAGCCACGGACAACTTACTTTTACCAAAATCGACATCCACTGTATGTTTACTTTTAATTAAATCGATGACATTTAGAGAAAATTATAATTATAATAAACTGTTGATAATTTGTTGGACACTAAATAGATATAAGCAAAAATAATTTATTTATTTGTCTTAGAAGGAGATAGCAAAAAAATGTTAATATAAAATAAAACGTTATATTTTGTTGTTATGTACAACTTTTGTCAAATTTTACTTTTTTTAACTAGTGCGTAAAGAGTTTTACTTTACGCACTAGTGAAAAAAAGTACAACTTTACACACTTCGTGGAGTGCGTAAAGTACGTACTTTACGCACGGTAGTAGAAAAAATATATTTATTCACTATTGAGCACCACTATTATTCAACTACTAAAAGGTCCGTTGATATAAAAAAAAATATTCAAAATCATATTTCATTTTCATAACTTATAATTTGATTGTGCATTCATAAAAATTTATTTTTATATTTACCTACTTCAATGTTTTACGCTTTTATTACATTTTTCATATTTTAATATTATGTTACAATAATTTTAATAATTATCTATAGGTAATATCTAATTATGGCAAATTATACAGGGTGTTTCTAAATTCATGCGACAAAATTCAGGAGGTGATTGCTCGTATGAAATTAAGATGGATCTTTCCTATAACAAAATTAAAAGGTGGTGACTAAAATTGAGTTTTTATTTTTTTCTAAAATTTCAATAAAGCTAGAAACTTGAAATTCTGTAATTTTCGTGCACTCGCAAAGGACTAACCACCGGAATTTTTTCAATATTCCTGTAACATTATAGAGGAGTGAAATTAGCAACCCTTACTTTATTTCATATCAAAACTTTTTTCGAGATGAAGTTTTATGAAATAAAATAATAACTTGAAATCTTTGTTTTTTAAAAAAAAAAAATATTCTTAAATTTTTTTCCCAAAACCAATACCCAGACAGCACACCAAATCCTTTGGATATCTACTGAACATCCCAATATCCACTGAATGTCCAGTCCATGGTGGATATCTATTTTATATCCATGAGATGTAATTTATAGACATGCAAATGTCCATAAATAATAGTAATTATATAGCAAATTATTAAAAAATTACGCCATTGTGCTCGCCATTGTGGCTAATAGTACCGTTCAGATATTTAAAATTAATTTTTTTAAGGTGTATTCAATATCCCATGGACATCCACTAAATAATCAAAGTCTAGGCGCGAACGCAAACTATCGTGGATATCCACTAGATGTAATTTTGGATTTTGCTTACTAAGTATAGATGGCGATACCACTTTCGCATCTACTCATGCTTAACCCGTCGTAATAGAGTTCGATCAAAAGTTGTTTCCCAATCAGATTCCATTAGAGACTGGAATCGAGAATTTCCATTTATTGCTGAAGAGTCCTAATAAGGATGACTTTCTCCTTAGTGGGCAAAGTCAAAGGCAGAGTGTTGAAAATATTTTGAGTGTTGAAAATATTTTTTCTCTGCTTTTCTTTCGACGTTATTCAATAAACATTGGTTACTTTTATGAACCTCTACTAAAGATACCCATAAGATATTTTGCTGGGATATAAACGAACATTTGGTTGGATATCCATATTGGATATCCACAAAATATATTCTGTGGATATCTCTGGGATTTCTCGTATTGTCTGGAAGATACCCATTAGATACTTTGCTGGATAATCCATAGGATATCTTCTATATTCTGGATATAGACGGACATTTGGATATCCATATTAGATCCACGGAATATTTCTGATATCCTGTGGATATATTGGATATCCACAAAAGATATTCTGTGGATATCTCTGGGATTTGGTGGCTTCAGAGAAAAAAAAATAAACACCATAATTTATAATTGTTTTAATAAATTGAGTGGAAAACAGTAAAGATGTAAAATGTAATACGATTCATATTATTAAAAAAATACCCGTGGTTAGTCCTTTGCGAGTGCACGAAAATTACAAAATTTTAAGTTTCTAGCTTTACTGAAATTTTAGAAAAAAAATAAAAACTCAATTTCAGTCACCACTTTTTAAGGGTGATATCTCGGAAAGGGGTGGGCTGAGGAAATTTTGTTATAGGAAAGACCCATCTTAATTTCATACGAGCAATCACCTCCTGAATTTTATCGCATGAATTTAAAAACACCCTGTATAAACATCTACCTGCTTATTGGCTCTTGACTTTAGTTAATTAGGTACTTTACTTTCAAATAAAGAAATAATACCTATCATAATAAAAAAATAATTGAATCGCTACATGTTAAACGGGCGTAAGTCCATCTATTAACAATTTGAGGAAAATAAAAACCGTCCGTGTAAACATTTTTTTAAACGAAAAGTTAGTCCAAGATATTAATTACATCTGACGTTAGTATTTGAGTAACTTTTTGTTCAAAACCATTTTTACATTTTTTGTTTACTCAAATTGTTAAAAATGGACTTACGCCCGTTTAACATGGAGCAAATCAAATGTTTTTTTCAAAAACTGCACCAACTTTGATCAATTTTATATACAGGAAATGAAAACTATCCGCTCTATATATGCAAATTTTATTTTTCGTATTTTTCACACTCTTTAGCCTCATTACAATTATTTTAGGGGGTTGACAAATGTCAAAATATAATTATAAACCTTTATGGAGTCTATTCTGTAATAATTCCTTTATATTTAACGGCCTTTAAAAATATTGGTGGCCTTTAAAAATATGTTCCTATTCGTTAATTTACTTCTGTCATTATTTAAGCAGATTTCTTTAAGATAGTTCCTCTAATGTATTTTAAAGATCCGTTTAAATAATGACAGAATTAAAGAAGAAAATATTTTTAAAGGCCTTTAACTATAAAGGAATTGTTACAGAATAGACCCCTTTGGATGTTTATTATATCTTCCTGTATATTCGATTTGGAAATTGTTTTTTTGGGATTTTTAATCTTAATGTTTTTACGAAAATTCCAATAGTAAGTAAAAAATCACCTGCCGGAATCCAAGCTATTCGATGTGGGTCTCGCCGATATCTCAACTTTTATTGTTGTCTGAATTATTTACCTTACCTTCGACCTTCGATATTCTATCGATATTTTTCAAACACTAAAAATAGGACTTATTGCGCCAGTAGTCAGGCATTATACAATACACCATCAATGCCAACTTTACTAGTAATTCATGATGTTCAACTTTATGTTGGCAGTATTGGAGCACGTGTAACTGTCAATATTGTCAGTGTCAGTCGTCAAAATTTTTAACCAATTTTCACTATTTTTCGAATAAATAAGTGAGTGTTGAATAATTCCAGATTGCATAAATTCAAGATTTCTAAATTTAAATACCTCGTTACATTTAGGTACATAACTTAAATAGAAAAATACTTTTGTAGTGAAACGGCCTTTGACCTAAATGTTTAGGAACAAAATGGCGAAATGTTGAAGTGATAAACACCACTGCCTTTTGTAGTAGTTTTTACTTAGATGTATAATTGTTAAACATAATGAAAGATATCTTCCTAGCTGCTTTCTCAGTTATCGCAAGTTTTCTTCTTGTCTTACTATTTGTTTTGTTTGGTAATCTATCTTGCAATGATTTTATGGTAAGTAGTTTACCTTTGTTTTGTTCTAGGATGGTTCATCGTATGGAAGCTGATTCTAAGTAGATTCCGTTTTATAAGAGAACTAATTAAAGGTGCTAGTAATTCGACGATCGAAGAATTGAAAATTACTAGAAATAAATTAAAAAAAGTACGAAGAGACTGACTCTTTCAAGATGAATATTCGATGCGCTAAACCCGAAGATCTCATGAACATGCAGCACTGCAACTTGCTCTGTTTACCTGAAAATTATCAAATGAAATACTATTTTTACCATGGTCTGAGCTGGCCACAACTTAGTTATGTAGCCGAGGATGAAAAAGGTAAACTAATCATTTAAAGACACTACTTTTGTCAATTTCTTGATAGAACAAAATACAAAGGACCTCAACGTTTTAATTACAGATCTTATTTAATATTGTACTGCATGTAAATTGATTTAATAAATAAATAGTTTTAATTTATTTAAATAACTTTTGAGTTAAAGTAAATTTTGGTCCATAAAAGTGTACTTAATGTTTACAAATTTGAAAAAATAAATGTTTAACAATGCTATTTAAATCTATTCCATTCTTGTTTAGTTGTTTATTTTTTATCTTTTAATTTTGTGGGCAAGGAATTCTGTGTTCTGCAAAAAATCCATCAAAATTTTTAAAAATTTTCCTTTCTAATTTGACAGCATTTCTGATAACTCAAATTTACTTTTTCTTAAACATAAGGAACACCATAAAAATAAGGATTTAATTATTTTCTGAGTCTTCTCAACTCTTTTTTATTTTTAAAATATTGCTCTGCTGTATTCAAAAAATTGATATTAAAAAAAATGATCTTTCATACATCACAAAAAAAAATGCTTGCACATCTAGGTACATAATTATATTGTTTTATACTAAATTTCAAACTGTTTTTTTTTTTGAGTAAATATGTCTTAAATGTTTTGTGCTTTGTTTTTGTTTTAAATATTTTAAAAGGAGTATTTGCTTTATTATGTTTCCAATATTAATTTACATTTTTTTTTAATTATAATAATTTAGTAGGTTCTATTTTTTATTCTTAGTTAAGGCAAGCGTATAGGGTTGCCACCAGTCCTTTTTTGAAGCAAAATATCCTTGTGACTTTTTAAAGCTTGAAATGTCCTTTTTTACAGCAAATATCTCTTTTTACAGCACATATCTTTTGAAGGGACAAAAATATATAAGCTAAGAACCTTTTTTACCTTTTTTTTTAGAAGCTTGGTAGAATGACGCTGAGCTTTTTTGTTTTTTGTGCAGCAGAAGGTTTTTTTTGTATACCGGAGCCTGTGTCAGCAAACCATTTTACTTATATACTAAATAATAATAAAATTACTAAGACAATGTTGTAAATGTATATTTATAGTCCAAGAGCTAGCAACACAAACACAAATTTCATTAAGTGTTTGATGTACTTTGAAATTTTGTAATTTGAAATCATTTGGAAGGAAAAGCATATATACCTGTGTTGGCTAGATCCATCCCCAGACACCAGGTACTGTGCATAATAGAAAGGGGTCATAAAATATGACCCAAAAAAAGTTTTTGATTCAGAGGCCAACAAACAACAATTGAAAGTTTAGGTAATTCTAAAAATACTAGTAATTTAGGCAGACACTTTTGAGAGGATTTATAATTAATAAATCAACCCCAAAGTTGGTTTTTTTAAATACGATTTGAAGTGTTTGATTCACGCTGAAATTTTAATAGCGTCTTAATTAAATATAAAAAAAATTAATTTCAAAAAGGCAGAACTTTTTCCGGGGTTTAATTGCCGGCCAACATAAAAATAAGTCTTATTTACTATAGAAAGAGATAGGCTGCGTATGGCTGTAGGTGTGAGTGAGAGCGCTGATCACCGCCGTTACTAGTCTTTCTCTACGCTCCCATTGACTATTGGTCACGTGTCTTACAGCTGTATATTTTAAATTCATATTTCGGAGTATAATAAAAAAATGCATTTATTTAGATGACCTATGTTTAAACTTTTAATCTCTCAAGATTAAAAATTAATACAATTAAGTAATAATGATAAAAATCAATAATAAAAAATTTGAATTTAAAGCTTTTCGAAATAAAAAATGGAAATAGTTGACAAATGTTGCTTGTATTGCTTCTTTGAACTTGTAAAATTCGCGTAGCATTGCCGATGATAACCTTCCTTAGAAGACACTTCTGATGGTAAAATCACATCACAGTATTTTAAATTGTTTTCTTGTCGGATTTTTAATGTTATTTTACATTTATTTAATGTACTCTCAGTGAATGGATTAACCTTTCCAGCATCTTTTTGTTTACATATCACACATGAGACACATTTCATTTTTTCAAACAAAATTTTATTTAAATGGTACTAAAAATTAAATATAATGAATTATATATTTTGTAAATAATAATTATTTAAATTCAGACAGGTATCAAAAGAGAACTTTAAAATATGTGCTCACAACAACAAAACGCAGGTTAACTAAAAATTAGGGATGCGCGATACGATCCGATATTTCAGAGTATCGATACTTTTACGTCCGATACTCGATATTTTGGATCGATACTTTGCTTTACGATATGTTGCAAGTATCGATACATTTCTACTGTATCGATACCTTTACGATCCGGGATTTTGGTTGGTGGCGGATCGGGGTGGCGACATCTACTAGCAAAACGAAAAATTAAATACATTTACGCAACCGTTATTCATCGTTTGCAGTTTCTGTAAAAATGCATATACTTGATAAAATCGTATCATACAACGATCGTATCGTTGTATTCTAATTTCTTATGAGCACAGTATCGTTCTATCCTCTGTCAGTCAGCTGTCAAGTGGGCTGAGTGAATCCCTGAAATATTTTCGTGTTATAAGTAGCTACTATTTTTTATGTAGTTAGGAGTATCTAAAATAATTGGTTTGTTTTATCTTTTGAATATGATGTAAGCCGCACAATTGTGCTGTGTACTTTGTGCGTTATTTTATAGGTATTGATCTTGTACATAATTATTTTTAAAATGGTGAATAAATGTTTTAAATAAAAAAAAATAATATGTCTTCAATTTATTACTACCTGTCAAACTGTCAAGCCCTAATAAAGTGGGAATAACTGAAATAACTACTAAAAATCTCGGATCGTTAAAGTATCGATATTTCGAGTATCGATACATCAACATTCGATATTTTACTGTATCGATACTTTACGTTCCGATCCGTATCGATACCTGATATCGATACTTTTAAGTGTATCGCGCATCCCTACTAAAAATAGAGGACTTCTATACAAGGGAAGTGCAACAAACTTGACAATTTTCTTTGACAGTAATGACATAAAAAATCAGGTCACATAAAGAGGCTGTTTTTTTTGTTAAATTTTTGATTTTTCTTATCTACTTTTATGTCGTTTAGATACCATGTTGTACCCGTAACGTAAAAAAGACTTTATTTTAGGGTATTTTACATTTAAAGGTTGAAAACATTTGTCACTATCAGCTGTGGATAATGTCAAAACATAAGCGTAGCATTGCATTTTATTTTTTGATGTTTATAGTCTATTTGTGCTTCTCCCGCTTTATGAAACTTATTTTCTTTTGGTTTTATTTATTTATGTCGATTGCAAAATGCTGCTGCTATGAATAAAAGTTCTATACAATATACAACCAACATACAGTACTATTTACATTATGCCCATCTATGGTTACGCCTGTGTTCTACCAACAACATAATTGACAGCTGACAATGACAAAATGTTTCAACCTTTAAATGTAAATAAATGTAAAATACCCTAAACTAAAAAGTCTTTTTCACGTTACGGGTACAACAAGGTATGCAAATGGCATGAAAGTAGATAGGAAAAACCACAAAGTAAACTAAAAAACAGCCTCTTTATGTGACCCGATTTCTTATGTCATTAGTGTCAATTTTATTTTGTCAAGTTGGTTACACTTCCCTTATATAGAAGTCCTCTATTAAGATGAACGGCCGATACAGCTGTAGAAAGACTGTAGTAACGGCGGTGAATAACGCTCTCACTCATACCTACAGCCATACGCAGCCTATCTCTTTCTATAGTAAATAAGACTTATTTTGTGTTAGCCGGCAATTAAACCCCGGAAAAAGTGTCTGCCTTTTTGGAATTATTTTTTTTATATTTAATTAAGACGCCATTAAAATTTCAGCGTGAATCAAACACTTCAAATCATATTTAAAAAAAAATCAACTTTGGGGTTGATTTATTAATTATAAACCCTCTCAAAAGTGTCTGCCTAAATTACTAGTATTTTTAGAATTACCTAAACTTTCAATTGTTGCTTGTTGGTCTCTGAATCAAACTTTTTTTGGGTCATATTTTACGACCCCTTTCTATTATGCGCAGTACCTGGTGTCCCGGGGTGGGTTTAGCCAATTAAGCCAACACAGGTATATCTGCTTTTCCATCTAATGTAACGTTTAGATTTGGCCTTATAGCGATTTTTCATTAAAATAGGAATACGCTTGTTTTTGTCCGTGTTCAGTAATTATTAAATAGGTCCTTCTATACCCTCATTTAAACCACTGTGCTTTTGAATCGACAGGCGACTGTGGATTTCTATTAGCTGAGTGTCGAAGGCGTTTCTTCGCGGGCCTTTTTCCATAGATTCAGGGGTTTTTCTGCGACACTCTGGCCGAGTAGGTGACTCCTGTATTCAAGATGTCGGTCTAGCGTTTCCGCCCTGACGTTAATTGTGGGTATATGATCAGTTTGGGGTAGATAGGACCTCTATTTGAGTTTAGTTGGGCTATTTATTTGGTTTTAGAGGCTTGTTTGGTTATTTTAGCCCTTTATGTCAAGAATTTATTTCGTAATAGAGGGCGCTGATCGGACACCCATTTGCCACTAAGGTGTGTTGGTATTATTGGTTTTTGAAATTACAAAATAAAAAATTTCAAAGTGCATCAAACACTTAATGAAATTTGTGTTACTAGCTCTCCGACTATTACTATCACTCTACAATAGATATTACATAAAATTAGTTGTAAATAAATGTATTTCATTCCATCCTAGCCAAATACTTCTATTCCCTCCAAACTTCTAATCCTGTCAAATACTCCTGTCCATCTTAACCCCCATTCCCAAAAAAGCATCTGTTGTGAGTCTTACAGTTCAGTCCATCATTGTTATTCTATATATCAGTTGTTTATCTGATATCTAGAGCTTTTTATCTTCTTCAAATACACCTGTCTCACATTCAAAAAAAAAAATAGTCTCACAGTTCACTCATTGATTTGTCATCTATACTTAGGTTGCTCTTTTGTTATGTTTGTTTGAATTTTGTGTGGCCAGCTTCACAAAGCTTATTAAATTGAATTATTTGGAGATATTCTTTTCCAGGTAACATAGTCGGTTATGTCTTGGCCAAAATGGAAGAAGACCAAGAAGACCTGAAACACGGCCACATAACGTCATTAGCCGTGAAAAGGTCGCACAGACGATTAGGATTAGCTCAAAAATTAATGGACCAAGCCTCTGAGGCGATGGTCGAATGTTTCGATGCAAAATACGTATCGCTACACGTTAGAAAAAGCAATCGAGCTGCCTTGAATTTGTATAAAAATGCTTTGCGATTCGAAACCGTCGAAATCGAACCAAAATATTATGCAGATGGAGAAGATGCATACTCCATGCGAAGAGATCTTTCCGAATTTTCTAGAAAAGCCAAACCTAAGGCTGAATATAAGAATGAGTAGTGTAATTATTTTATATATTTTTTTTGTATAACGAATGATAAATATACCGAAAAAAATATTTTGTTGTTTATTAAAATGCTTGTCTTTGTGTTACATGTGTTTTTCTGCTACTTACTTTCAAGATCATCCAAGAGCATTAGAAATAATATAATTTTGTAGAGCTCTTAGAGATAAATTTTGTGTCACAAACTGTATTTTCCTAGCTTAAAGGGTTGCAGAGATATTTAACAAAAACTTATTTTTCTGTTGAAATTCCCCAAATTTTATCTAAAATAAAATTATCTATCCTAACAAACAATAATAAAATTAATCCCTGATTTATTTGCCCAGGAAACTTATACGAATGCGTAATAATATGTCTCAACATAAAATACATTTTGTATTTGGTAGGAAAATAGGGGTAATTTTAGAAGAAAAAACGATGTAAACTCTACCACATTATCATTTTAAACTTTGTAGGGTATTATAGTTAAAAAGGCCAAAAACCCGGGTTTAGTTACTAAATAAAATCAATTTTTTTCTAGCACCAACTGGTTACAAATACTATTTTTATTACTTGATAAATTATAATACGAAAACATCAATCCTTCATGAATAGTGAGTACTTTTTAGGTTTTATTTTCAATTAGATCTGAAATATATATTCTTGGGGTATTGAAAGTAAATATTTCTTGAACAAATGTAAAATAACCTTGGATTGCACTTCCTCTGGTAAGTGATTATACATCTTAGGCCCCAGATATGAAAAAGACCTTTGACTTAAAGATCTTTCCACCAAGGGTAAAACATGGTTTAATCTATTCCGGGTTAGGTAAGTATGAGATGGTATTGTAGCTGTGAGTCTAGTAGGGTAATATTTTAGATTGGTGGAAACAAAGTACATTTGTCTAATATTTTGCTTTCTTCGTAAAGTATATCTGATGAGTATCTAAAATTTTTATTCATTATTAATTTCAAAAATCTGCATTGTATTTTTAGGTTATTGTTGCTATGCAGAGCACTACCCCATGCTACAATACCATAACGTATATGACTTTCTACAAGAGAATAGTATAAAATTCGAAGTTGTTCTAGATGCAATGTTTTTTTTTAAATTTAAATTTATAGAGAATAATTTTTAACTGTATAATTTATGTGACAATCCCATTTTAAATGTCTTATCAATATACACGCCAAGATACTTATATTCTTTTTCAGATAAAATATACACTTTTCCATTGCTAGTGATCTTTGAAATTTTGGTAATCCACCTGCATTGCAACTGATGGGTAAATATTTTGTTTCTTGTAAATTTAGCGTCAGTAATTTTGAGTCTAAGAATTGTTTAATACAAGCGAAATCATTTTCAGCAACTGTTTTTAGAGTATTCCAGTCTTGTCTCTCATAAAATATTACTGTGTCATCAGCAAATCCAATTATTTCACCGCAGCTTTGTATTGAAAAGAGTCCGTTTATATATGAATTAAAAAGTATAGGCCCAAGAACAGTACCCTGCCCAGCAAACATTTTCTATAACATTAGTTATAACTCGACTTTGTTAAAGACGAATTTACTTATTGAGGTAATTATTACGTAAAATTGACCAAGAAATCTACCTTTTACACAAATCTGCTTAAAAGTAACTTTAACCATATCAGCAAGGGAAAAACTACTAAAAAAAATAACCAACAATTACTTCAAAGTTAAATTTCCTTTGTAGTAAAATTAGGTGCCATATTTAGGTAATATCTACCTGTTTGGCAACTAAAAATCGTCTTTATAGTAGAATATCCAACTAGGTAGATTTGGTTAAAAATTCTACGTAATTTTATGCCTCCATAGTAACCTATTTGGCCGCTTTTATTTATTCTCCTTTAAAGTAATATTAGATCGAGATCGTAGCAAAATTCTACCTGTTTATCTACCTAATTTCAACCAAATAGTCGAATACTCATTTAGTTGACATATAAGTCATCTTGAAGAAATATTTATTAACTTTGTTGTAGCAATTACCTGAAAAATCTACCACAAAGTAAATTCGACTAAAAACCACCAATTTAAAAAGTCATACATGACCTATTTGTAAAATTTATATTATTTAAGTTATTTTAACAATTAGGTTGTTCAGTTACTGTCTTCGTCATTATTCTTAAGAATTTCGGCCATTTTAAAAAAACCATTACAGTCGTAATCTTAATTTACGTGTAGTGTAGATAGAGCTTTAAATGAGTGCGAAAAATAATTAATAAAATGAGTTCGAAAAATAATAAATCATATCGTTATACTTCCGATTTTTATCGTAAAGTGAAACGACTAAAATCTCAAGTGCAGAACAACGTGACCTAAATATGCTATATTTACCAATAGGTATTTTTTTTTATAAAACTTATAAGTTATTATTTCTTTAAATAGGTAAAGTTAACTAATATGTCGTGAAATTGAAGTTAATTCAACTTAGTAAAAAGGTATTTGTAAAATACGTAGATTTCTTTAGTCATAATAACTTTTAGGTCGAATTCGAACAATACACCATATTTTCTTAACGTAATTGAAGTACGATTCCAAATTTTAAATTTTTAAAATGACCATAACTAAAACATACGAATGAAAATACCGAAAACGAAACATTATTGATTTTCTAAAGTGATACACAACAAACGTAACATAGTTTTAGCTCATAATATTATTATTTTTTCACACGATCATATTTTTTTCTTATATTTTTTTAATTAGAGAGTATTTTGGAAGGGCATTGTTATTTTTCTAAGTAGAACTGTTAACATGCACGACAAAATTTTCTTCGCATTAATTTCAACAAGCGTGAACTGTATATTCACCGCAATTACATTACATATATTTTTGTCACCGACATTTATTTATTTATTTATTTTCAATCTTTCATGTGAATTAGGTATATGTTTTAGTTGTGTTGGTGACTTCTTACAATATTTCTACTTATATATAGATAAAAATACCAAATAAGTATAAAATTTCTTTTCGTACACTTGGAGGCATACGTCATCTGCAAATATTTTGGTAGTTTCTACCTAAACTTAGTTAAATCAACGTCGAATTAACGTTATACTGACGTCAAATTTCCCTAGAGAGGTATTACTAACCAAACGTACTGGGCTACTACAATGTGAATTTAGATGTAATTCTACCTATTTTGGTAAATAAAACCAAATTTCGACGTCGTCTTATTCTCCACTTATGTCGAATCCACGTCGAGCCAACGTAAATTTTACTTAATTATGGTTAAATTTAATTTTGCGACCAAATTTATTATATATAATTTAGGTAGTATCGACGTCAAATTACACCAAAATGTTTGCTGGGTGAGGAACACCATACTCTAGTATTTCAGAGTTACTCGTTTTATTAGCAACTCTAACAATCTGCCTTCTATTTGTGAGGTAGCTTTTAAACATTTTTTGGTTGTTTCCTCTTATTTCCATATCTTTAAGAGACTGTAAGAGTAGCTCATGACTTACAGTATCAAAAGCTTTTGTAAGATCCATAAATACACACATACATTATCTAGATCTTTGTATATTTTTTCTACTAACGCTAGGATGGCATCTTCTGTTGAAGTATTTTTTTTAAAACCATACTGTAGTTTTGGAGACAATATTTTGTACTTAGACATATATGAAGCGAGTCTAATTTTTATTATCTTTTCAAAGATCTTAGATATATGAGTTGTCAAAGATACTGGTCTGTAGTTATTAACTAAAGTTTTATCGCCTTTTTTGTAGATCGGTGTTACAATTGTTTCTTTTAAAGTATCAGGAAATACACCTTTTTCAAAGCATATATTTATAATGTGTTCTTGTATTTCGTCGGTTCCTACTGCTTTTTTATTTTTTAAGACAGCGATAACTTTAATGATTTCGTTTTCTTCAGTAGGAGACAACATCATAGAATTCACTGTTGGTTGCTGTTGATCTTGGTAGTAAGTTTTTGTAATTTTTTCGGCCAGATTCTTTCCCATTTTGATAAATTGTTGATTCAATTCATTACATATATATATAAATACCCAATGAGGAATAATATCGATCAAAAATTTAAATTTCTAGACATAAAAATATATTTATTTTCTAGCATAATTTAGATACAAATACTAGAAAGGGGTATAAAGGGATCATACAAAATTTAAACAAATATGTAGTATAGTACAATAATTTTATTCGAATTTAAAAATACAATTTGGGATTTTTATACTTTCCTTTGTTTTGCAATACAACTTAAAACTAGATAGGTACTTCTATTAATTTATTAAAATATACAAATCCACAGTGTTCATATGCCGCTTAAAAATAATATTTACAGTTATTTTTTTTCACCATTCAAATAAAATTACAATACTTTAAAATCCAATAATACATATATATCATATATCTGAATGGTTTTCTTTTCTATAATGCGATGCAAACATGAAAATTTACTAAATAGCAATTTTTTGGTTGAATATATGTCAAAACATCTATAATTTTAATTATTGTAGGTAATCTAAAGATCTACTTCAAATTTTAAAATTTCTGATATTAGACAACATTAATATACAACTGGTTAAATAAGCAATATAAATCCTACCGAAATTTTATAAAATTGGCATACTTTTTAAACACATGAAACTATTTTCGCAAGAGCACTATCATATGTGCAAAATATTTTTCCCTTCTTCGATATATGTTAATTAAATGTAATAATAATAAAAAAAATTTCCTATTTATAAAATTTTATTAGGCTATTTTAAATAATCTTGAGTATGTATACATTTAAATACGTCACAATTACGTCAAATGGAGATTTTTTTGTATGTAACAAGGTAAAGTTGTTTTTATTTTAAATGAAAGAGTCTGCAATAAGCGTCTGGTTTAAAATGAAACATCCTAATATATTCTTTTTTCTACAATATATCCTTGAATATATCAGACCACAGGACAGAACTGACTAGACAAAATTAAAATACATTATTTTTAATAATATCATTTGAGACTATTTCTAATTTGTCTGATTTAGAAAAGATATTGAACAAAGCTTTTTGTGATATAATCGATGTGTTTTTCGAATGTCTTTTTATATTTATATCAACTCTACAGTAATCAAAGCG